AGTCAAATGCGTTTTGTTAAAATATACTTTTTCACTCATTTGGTCTTTTGGAAAATGTCATTTGTGCTGTGTTTAGACCCCTCTCTTTAGAAATTTGTTTTACATGCACAAGTACAAAAATTTCGGTTTTTATCCAACGCAATCATAGGTTTGAACGTTGTTTTCAATTTAGACTTGTTTATATTTTTTCGTTTGGGCTTGTATTATATTTGCCTTCGGGTTTATATGATCCGTTCATCCTATTTTGACTCTTTCAAAATTTAAAAGTTTATCCTAAATTGAGGTAAATTATATGGCCTTCCAAATACCGTTTCGATTCCTAACATCACTGAAGAGACATTAATTGTCGAAATCCGGATATGGTGTACAAAAACCTTTGCACCTTTTGTTTGCGGTATACCATCTTTTCCGCAAGTTTATTGTTTTCTGTTTAGTATTAAATTTATAATTAAGATCCATTTATTACATCGGTGATCCGTTTATTTGGCAATCGCCAATGGCAGTCAGCAGGGTTTAAGAAAATCAGTTGTTCGACCTGCTAGTCAAATGCGTTTTGTTAAAATATACTTTTTCACTCATTTGGTCTTTTGGAAAATGTTGTTTGTGCTGTATTTAGACCCCTCTACATAGAAATTTGTTTTGCATGCACACGTATAAAAATTGCGGTTTTTATCCAACGCAATCATAGGTTTGAACGTTGTTTTCAATTTAGACTTTTTTATATTTTTTCGTTTGGGCTTGTATTATATTTGCCTTCGGGTTTTTGTTCCGTTCATCCTATTTTGACTCTTTCAAAATTTAAGAGTTTATCCTAAATTGAGGTAAATTATATGGCCTTCCAAATACCGTTTCGATTCCTAACATCACTGAAGAGACATTAATTGTCGAAATCCGGATATGGTGTACAAAAACCTTTGCACCTTTTGTTTGCGGTATACCATCTTTTCCGCAAGTTTATTGTTTTCTGTTTAGTATTAAATTTATAATTAAGATCCATTTATTACATCGGTGATCCGTTTATTTGGCAATCGCCAATGGCAGTCAGCAGGGTTTAAGAACATCAGTTGTTCGACCTGCTAGTCAAATGCGTTTTGTTAAAATATACTTATTCTCTCATTTGGTCTTTTGGAAAATGTTGTTTGTGCTGTATTTAGACCCCTCTACATAGAAATTTGTTTTGCATGCACACGTATAAAAATTGCGGTTTTTATCCAACGCAATCATAGGTTTGAACGTTGTTTTTAATTTAGACTTGTATATATATATATATATATATATATATAGAATGACTGAATAATAGCCAACGATAAATCTTACGGGGCGATGGATCATATAAATATGATACAGTACACTACAAAATATAATATATAACCAGTCTAAAAGGGTACAACATCACCAAAAAATGACAATAAACGAACAAATGTCACTATAAATATTTCGGATAACAGATATCCTTCATCAATATGAGCACGATGTAAAATGAATCAGATAAATCTATTCTGATTATTAAACTATAGCAATCTTGAATTCTAAACAATAAAAAAAGTGAAACAGTTTCACCCGAACATCATATGTAGAGACGCTAATAAATTTCTAAAATTTCCAAAAAACGACTCAAAGACATGCCTAAAATGAAAATAGAAATTATAGATATGAAATGGCACAACTTTAAAATTCCAAAATGACGTCAGTTAAGATGTTACAACAACTGCGTGTAAATACATTCCCAAAAGAACAGCACTGATCGATATAAGCTGGTAAAATATGACAAACAGAGGCTGCGTATTTATCATTCCAAATAAATAGCAGTTTTATAATGAAAAGAAAAAATAATAGTAAATTTGGGCTAAGGTTAAAAGTTGGACGACGATGCGTACTTGTATATCCCTACCAAATGAAAAGAACCCTCGTATTTAAACTAGTAAAATTCCAAAAATTCCAAAAGAATCCTTAAAACTGTAAGAGTCAAGTAAGGAAGCCGGAGTAACTGGAAACAAATGATGTCAGGAAAATGAGTGATGGTAGGGAAAATGAGTGACTCATTCTATGTTTTTTCATTTATGCCCTCTGTTCTTATCCAAAACCTTTCCCGAGCAAGTCTTTCGGCCCTTGACCAACCCTTGTTGTGGTCTATGATTGTGATTATAAGGTTTTTGAGATCAGCTTGGGCGTGCCCAATATATATATATGTGTTATACCTGGAGTTGTGAGTTCGAACCCCGCTCGTGGCAGGTCGTTTGACCTCAATTTTAATTAACTATGATTGTCAGTTTTCCTGCCGAAAATATCTCTGAGCACTCTGGCTTCCTCTTCCAATAAAAACTGACCGCCACGATATTTTATATAAAAGCCAATAGTGCTGAGAGTGAAGATAAACAGCAACAATAAATAAATCAAGGTTAAATGGTAGAACATTTAAATCGATAAATATACCAGTTTAGACACTCCATACATTTTTGTTGTTATTCAGGAACCTCGTTAGTGGTTTCATTTAAAAGGGGCAGTAGCTGTCAAATTAATTTTCACTGATTTGACTCAAATTCACATATTTGATTTATAACATACTTAAAAGTATATCCAACGTATAGTGTAATGGCCTGACCATTAAGTATAACCGACGATTGGGCTCAAGCAGAAAAGACTATCAGGTGCTGATACTTTAATCAAGAACCAATCTAACAAATGGTAAAAAGCTGAAAATACAAAATGAAATACAATTTTACAATGTGTTGAATTGATGTAATAATTTATGAAATGTCAAATGTAGATAAAAGCACAGTCCATAAAACGCGAAATTAAGCTGCAATTATAAAGGTGATGTTTCCAGTATATCACGGATAAAGAGTTCAAATATGTGATGAACGGTTTGAGGGCATCAAATACAAAGTTATTAATGTAACTCACTCTGTGGTTAGCCAAAAATTGTGTCCAAGATGAAGTTTGTCCTTAAATGTTCTCCAGTTTTGTGATGACCTTGCAGTTCAGTTCGAGATACGTGTAAGAAATGGAACAGTAACGATGATAACGATATTTTGAAGTTCTTATACGGTTTGAAGATGAATAATCCTCCTACTTCGGGAACAAATAAACAGATTAAGAATATAATCCAACGAACTATATGAATTGAGGAACGAGGTAACAGAATATATAGAAAGTCTAAAATAAACAATTGACAATGAATAGGCTCGATAATATGTATCAACATTTCGTGTGTATTTTAGTCTAGACGCCATCTAATTAACCATCGTGATGACCTCAGAGTACTGCCGACGGTCATATAACCCGATATAAACATAAACATAGATAAAAATACATAGCGAACTCGTGCAATTGGAATTTTCTAGGTCTGTTTGATTTCATGTTAAAGGTTAAACATATATCTTAATCATCGTTTTTACCTGTATAATAACTAGTTTTTGTGGACCGAATTAGTCAATGAAATGGTTTATCCTTGTTTCACTTTCAATGTTGACATTCTTTTCCATGTAATAACTGAACACGCCTAATTCATGCGTAACCCATTTCTAGCTAAGGGGTTAAATAGAAGTTCATATGAATACGGATTCAATGAGGTCGAATTCACTTGCAAGTTAATAATTCATCAGCGATGTTTCTAAGCTTTTTTTGACAAAATTGAACCAAACTGGCTTCTGAAAGCGAATTATTATTTCACTATAATTTCACTTTCATTAATTGAAGAAAATAAAATCATATCTCAATGTTTTGTATATCTCGTAGCTAGTGCTCCTTTAATAATATAAATTTGTTCGTCAATAAGATATGTTGGTGTTGCTGTGCTAATTGCTTAACAAACAGTGGCAACTATGTCATGTGCGTTTAGGGCTTGCACATATAAACAGTAATTTTACTGGTATAAAGAAGAACATATGATATGATCAGAAATGAGAAAACAAATTTTCACCAGAAACTAACGGACGCAATTGTAAACAGCGACATATTACTGTACGGCCTTGACAATGAGGGAAATTGATACCGTATAGTAGGAAATAAAAGGCCCAGGCATAAAATGAACGAAAAATAATAATTGCACACAGCTACCAAAGCCAATCTCAGGATAACAAGCTTCTGACTTTGGACAAGTGCATAAAAATGTGGCGGGGTAAAACATGTGTGTATTCTAACCTAGGACAGGAGTGTAACAGGACAATATAAACACGAATTATTGAAATCAGGGATAAAGAGCTTGACTTATTCAATTGGTTCTACGCACAAACACAAAAAACTGACCTAAGAGTGCCCGAAATAAGTGAATGCTAATTGAAAGCACAATTTCAACAAAACAAAACACATGTTTTTCTAGACTAAAATATCAATTATAAGTACACCTACAACGGATGTTGTGTAAATAGATCATTTTCAGTTTGAGAAAAGCATGACCTTGTGTATAACGACAATATAAGAGGCGACAGGGTGGTGGACAATTTTATATAAGTCTTAATTACTTGACAGCAACAAATGTCTTGTTTTGTTTAACACAACTAAAACTAAAAGCAATGTTGGGACTGATAAATACAAGGTTAAAAAATATCACTACAATGTTAAATTAATAACCTTTAAGACTAAGATTATTCAATACTTAAATATCAATCAGTACACATCCAATGTATTTAAACAAAATGTCACAAACAGTTTGCAATGCCAAAATATAAATATCGACATAATGTAGCACTGTAAATTGTAACAGCTGTATAGCAGTAATATACCGTTATGTTTTGATTTCGTGATAACTAAATCAATGATTGTACCGATACAAACAATGTTCAAAGATTTTATTGCAGTGTTAAATTGACAAATTTCATAATAATTTTATTTAAAGAATAAGTTTACACGTATCGTATCTAAGTTTACGGGCTCTATAAACAACATCACCGTAAAAATCAGGATGTGATATCTCGTTTACTTTTATTTTGTATGGGCTATGAAGGAATAAAATAAAAAAAAGTAAACAATGAAACTGTTATGAAAGTTTACTTTTTCAGGACATGCAGATTACACAGGCTGTTTTGTAGATTCCGATCCAATCAGAAAGTGTCCTTATGTATATAGAGGCACACACTTTTTAACCTTGACTATAGACTTCTGTATACTTGGATGCGCAGATGATGGGTTTAAATATGCCGGTATGCAGGTAATTGTTACATAAATTTACATGTTATTGATGTTTCATAATACATGTAGTATTTCCATGATTTGATTTGCAGAAAACAATCACGTGGTATTTAAATGTGATAATTTTATGTCCAAATACAACGCAACATCCACACTGAACATGAACGCTTTTCTGATAATCTTATAATAATTCGTGGGGATATTTTAGGTAGATTGGGTATCTATTTTAGCATCCCTTGTAGGCATGTTGGAAAATTACTTTTTCGGTTTAAAAATATGTTACCAAGTATCATTCAATATACACCTGAAACATCTAAAACTTGAAATTCTAAGATAAAATTATAAAAAAATTAGGTAAGGTATATGTATTTAAAAAGTTTCATACAAAAGCTTTTAAAATCAAGGGCAGATAACTAAATTGAATTTTCTAGGTCATTAGTTTCTGTTTTTTTGTATTTTTCTAGAAAATAAGGCCCTTGACCCCTTTTTCTATTTATTATTTAGGAAGTATTGATGAAAAGCAATTTTCTTATTAAATGCTAACCAATTTTATCGTTAAAAGTTTCCTCAATAAGAAAAAAAAATCAAGTTTCCTCTATATAATCCATTTAAAATAACTTTGATATCGTTCATCTTAATGTATTTTAGCGATAAAACAATGTCCGTGACTGCTAATAATGGTCTCTTAAAATCCCCCCTTTAGAATTGCGTTTTAATTTGTGTCCAATCTGCAGATGATGCACTTTTGCATTATAAGTCGTGATTATCCATAATGAGTATCGCATTTAACTGGTTCAATGACTATTAGTCACATACATAATTTTGACGATATGGAAGAATAAAGGATATGGATATTTATTAATGACACAAAATCACTAGACATACACATGCAAAAAGCAAATAAAAAATAAAATGAACGGAAAGTCTGTTCATCGCCCAAAAGTTACAGTGAGGCCATCATTAGGTCTTCGTTTGAATTGCTTCTCGGTATGGATTTTGCTAATTATTCAAGGCTGTATGTTGACCTATGATTGCTTCAATCCAAGTCATTTGGACTCTGTTGGATGGTAACCTCATTTGCAATCACACCAAAACTCCTAAATAGCTTATATGGATCAACATATCTCTCTTCTTCAGTAGGAGTAGAATTCATTGCTAGATGTGTTTTTAACTGAGCATTATAAACATATCTTCGATTAATATTGTCGATTTATGAACGCAGCAATCAGTTAAAAACATTGGACAAACAATAAAAAAAACATTTAGAGCACAAAAGAGCAAAGGTCTGTGAACAAGATACCCAAAAGATGTAGAGTCCCGAACGATATCATGAAAATAACATTGACGATACCAATTTTACTGCACCAGATGTGCCTTTTCAACAATAAATGCCTTTTAATGCTCTAGACCAAAATATTAAAATATTAAAAACTCAATACATACGTTTAACAGCTGATTAACCCAAAAGGAAAATAAAATATAACCAAATCCGGACAGTGAACCTTTTGTATGAAGGCGATATATTCCTTAATTCAAGATAGTTTCTAATATTTTATAACAGAAAGTTTCAATCAAACAATAGATATCCATATTTTCATGCCAGTACCGAAAGACTGGATACTATGCTGATGATACCGACAGGGGCTAACAGTCCACCAACAGAGGTATCAACCCAGTGGCAGAAATCACATTAACATGACAGTTACTGCACCAGATGCGCATTTATGTCTCGTCAGTGATGCTCGGTGGACATATATTTAATAATTCCAAATCTAATACAAACATCGAAGAGCTGATCAATCAATAAACTTTCCTATGATAGAAGTCTAATGAAGCACTTTAAAATATACCAGCTTCAAATAAAGCAAGTACTTGAAAAATAAAATATTATAAGTTAGACAGTTTTCACCACAAAAAAAATAATTCTTTTTGTCTTTTTTTTTAAATCTCGTAATTGTCTTTTTCAGTCTCGGCAATGGTGCCATTGTGGTAATGACCCATACTTTGATCTTGCAAAACATCCAAATGTCAGCGATTCAGAATGTAATACACCGTGTTTTGGGAACTGGACACAAATGTGTGGTGCAGATTGGAGGCTATCTATATATCGTATTAGTACGCTTTCATTTAAGACTAAATTTTTCTGCACATTTTTTAGAAATATGTTTAACATTCGTTTTCATTTTACTTTCGAAACCATTTGCGTTTATAAGATAGAAAACCAACGCCACACAAAAACCTAAAAAAAGAGTCAAAAGGTCAAATTACAGCAGTCAACAATAGACAATACAAAATGTGTTCTTATACATTTCACTGAATCTAAAAAGGTTGTGATTATATTTGACAGAAGCTATCAAAGCTATGCTTGTAGAATTAATATTTCCCCTTAACATACTTTGACATATAGAATAGAGAATAGAAACGGGAAACTTGTCAAAGACATAACAACCCGACTAAAGAACAGCCCATGGCCAACAATGGGTCCTCAAAGCAGCGAGAAAATCCCACACGCTGTCCCCTAAACAATAATGTTTACTAGTTATGCGAAATATTCTTACTTTGCCATAAGAACACTCTCTATACACGAGCATCTGAATTATCGTCAATAATCTGATCGGACATGGCTGCGTAAATATCCCACGTAGCCTCTTTCATCATATTGTAGTTTTATATGGCTTCTTTCAGGTCATGAGAAACCTCTGAATTAAGTACAAGATTAAAAATAAGGATTGTTACATAACTAAAAACTTACAAAGTAAACACAATATCTAAATAAAGTATGAGATTTAACTCTTTGTGCCAATTCTTCAAAGATCTAACTCACGTTTGTGTTTGTAAAGTTAGTTGAATAATGTAACGATAAACAATAGACAAACTCAGATTTACATTGTAGGAGACGTCATAAGTGTTCCAACTTTTCAGCAGTATGGAACAGCATTCTACGGTAGAGCCATTTCAAGTCAGCCGTTGAAATCAAAATTTATACACAGTAATGGTTTGAAAGCGAAAGTTGACTGTGCGAAGGCATGTGGATATATCATTGACTGTAAAGTGTTTTCTATTTCCTCGCAGACTAAACATTGTCACCTGTTTGAAAAGACTATAAAGCTTTGTGATGCCAATATCACGGATCCAAATACGTCAGTCCATCTCCTTTTATGAACAGTTTATGGCTATCTTGATTATGTAGCTATCTTCCCAGTTTAAACGAACAAATTTTATAAAAAATGTCTAATACACAAGGTGCCCTCTATCATTTCGAGGTCCAGTCATCTTTTTGTTATTTCACTGTGCAATTTATGTTTTACTTTTACGACGAATACATGGCGAAGAAAGGCCATGGAGATAATTTTGTACATTGAAACCCTTATTTATATATGATAGTAGCAATACTAGCAAATGTTTGTTTTTCTTCATGTTTATTATCTTATATGAATTCATTCTCGAAGCATTGTATGTTTATTTCAGATATAGAAATAACCATACATGTAACCAGGAGGGTCTCGAGAAATGGGTTGGGCTTTCCTAAACCTCTTTGAAAACTATAAAGATTTTATTAAATTGTTTTTGAACATTTTTTTTAATATGGATATTCGCATTTACACATTCTTGGTCGTTATTTGTGTATTCTCTCTAGAACTGTCTGGATCCTGGCTTGGCATATTTATGACAATTTATTCAACACTGATTAAGAAACCAATGCAGCATCATTCCGAATTGGTTTAAAGATGTGTCAGTTAAATTATCATTGAATTGAATGAGTAGTCAATGGTAATAGAAAATAAAAATTGCGAAAGAAATAAAATTACTTTTTTTGTATCCAAACGGAGCACAATTACAACAAACACATTATATTACACAAAATATAAAAACTAATTAAGTGAACCGTCTAACATGAGCTTTACGAAAAGACTGGGTGATATAGAGGAGAGAGATCAGAAACATCAATCTGTGTAATTTCAATGATTTTGTGTTAATGTAAAGTCAACCTAGGCTTTTGATAGACCATTCCTCCCCAAGAAAAAAAAATACCGAAAAAGGAAAGAAGGATTCCCCAGAAAAAAAGATTTACCACGCTATTTCCGAACATTACATAAAAAAGATGTACCCCTCTATTTCCGAAATAGCATTCCGATGATAAAGAACCCGTTGGGTAACAACCTATATCTACGAAACGGATAGGGTCCTGCATTATTTATAGATAGTACTTTATGCTATAAAAATATCTAAAAACTATATTGATTTTCCGCGTAAAATCACGCAGAAAATCAGTGCGTACTGAGATACGATTCTTGAATTTTCATGTCCCGATGAGAATTAAAGCTATTCATGTCGAAGCATAGAAATCAATACTCTAAGGGTATGAATAAATAAAAAAAATACACACACCTTTCAGCAAGAGGATTGTGTTTTAGAGCCAGACAAACCAAAGAGTAACTTCCCGCCAGTTATATCTGCTTAAATCTGAAATATTTCTGAAATATTTGCACGCACCGAAGGATTTACGGACGGTTTATACTCTTTTGAATATCTACTCCCTAGAAAATAAAGATTTCAAATGGTTTGGTCTATACGAGTCCAGTCCATCTTGCCAAAAAATAGGTAATTCTGAGTGCAATGGTTTATTGCATTAAAGCCAAGTCTATTGCTGTCTTACAAAGTATTTTAGGGTAGACATGTACATAATATAAAGAGTATTTTTTAGATAACAATATCTACATATCATGTCAGCTGCGTTTTCAGCAATAACATGTGTCTAAAGGGAAATATATTCTTGATATCATATCAATAGTTAATATACAAGTGAACAAATATCAGCACGGATAATTCACTTATAGAGGGATGATTAGTATGTGTAGGTCATGCAATACGTTACAGATATGTACTTAAATATTTGATTTACTGATTATTCTACTTATAATGATTATTAGTAAACAAATCCAGTGGTTTATATTAAGATAAGTTTAGATTTTCGTTAACTGGTGAATTTTGTTCTTGGTATCCGTTCAAAGAAAATAAAAAAAAAGAATTGTGGATAAACGAGTTCCATTTATAGCAATAAATATTACGACGCTATCTAAAAGAAAGAGATGTGGTATGATTGCTTACGAGACAACTATCCACCATAGACCACATGACAAGAAGTTAACAACTATAGGTGACAGTATGATCAAAACTACTACCGAAAAGTAAGTTATAAAAGGTGTCCGGCCTTTTGACAAATAGAAATAATATTATTTTTATGAAGGATCCACTTATATTTTAGATTTTTACGAATAAACATCAGTGTGACGTGTCATTTCTGGTAAATCTCTGAATCTCTGGTACGCAATGCAACATTGAAAACTTCAAAACATGAAATACTACAACAATAAAGCACATTTTGTCAAACTAATTCTGTTTTCAAATGCACAATGATTTTTTTAAATGAAGAGTTGATGAGTAAAATTTACAGCAGTGATATTCTATGTGTAAAATTAATGACAAGTTAAATCTTACCTTCCATGATAGTCTGTTGCAAAAGAGAAATTTCACCTCAACTTATTTCACAAAATATTCATTTAAAAAATCTCCAAATTCAAAGTATCAAGGGATTTTATGTTTATAAAATAATGCTTACATACATTTTAGTGTAATTCTTAACATATGAACAATTTGAAATAAAAAAAATGCTAAAAATTACAATGTTGACAGATTTTGGAAAGTTTGAATGTTTTTCAAACAAATGAATAAGGCATACTTAACCAATACCAACATTCTTTTGGAAAAAGAGCTGTATGGTTTCCAGGTACAGATACAATTATGTTTACAAATACAATGGTTGTTCTTTTATGCACAATTTTTCAAAAACGTGTATAAGCTGCATTAGTTCATCATCTGGAAATCTCCATGTTAATCATAGAGTACATTTAGTTATTTCTTTTAATTCAAATTGTAGCAAACGATTACAACAACTCAAAAATGTTACCAGACCAGTGAAAACTGACTTGGCAGGATCAAGTTTTTAAGGTACTTGTGTACTAGTGAAGGCAAACCAAGGAAAGCGCTTCAAACGCACCAACTTTGTAATATCACAGAATTATTTTAACATCCACCGTTAATCTCGAGTTCTCTCCCCTCCATTGTGCATGTGCACTGATAGATACACTTTGTGAGGTTATTTAAACCTAAACTTTGAATACCGTTAATTATTAGATTGAAGATTGATATGATATTGTAATTTAAACTTTGAACTGTGTTACCTTGACTATCTTCTTCCTTGTTATTGGATACACACACACGAAAAGAGAATACCTCCGATAAACTCAGGTAATCATAAATATTGATTTTAGAGGTTTTAAATTATTCCAAAGCATATCGAAGTAAATAGGACACACTTATTTTGAACTGGATTGTTTACATTTAGTTTTATTAACCTATTTCTTTATTGTTGTTGTTGTGCATTCGATTAATTCATTGATGATTGAAATCAATGGAAATTATCATATGGCTATATATTGAAAACAAGTTCATAGACAGTACTAAAACGCGTTACTCATTCAAATTTTTATATCTATTGATTTATTCAAATTGTATTTTTCTGTCAATATTTTTTTTGGATTGAAAGGCCAGCTGGTGCAGACAAAATGTTGATCTATATCATTTAATTGTTTTCTTTCTGTGATTTTAACGACCATTCCAATCTTGCTGAAAAAGATGAGATTCACATTGGAAAAGTGAGTGCTAAAAATAAGATGAACTCTCTAAATTGTTTACTGTTTTATTGCACTAGCCTCCACCTTTATTATCCGGATTAGTTCTTCACAAAACTTTGCATCACAATTTTTGTAACGTTCAATGTGTTTGATCTTATCTTAATGTCCTATAACCGAACGTATACACTTCGTCATAATATTTGAACCAACGTTGCAACCTAACAAGAACATATCATCGATTGAAGGCTACTTCCTGTGGGCCGATAAAACAAAGAAAATCTTTCCTATCATGGGAACCTCTCTAATATATACAATTACAATCAACATTACACACAATCGTTGTTTAAGATTTTCCTGAAATATTGTACACAACATGAAGCTTTTACCAATCTTGCTTTGTGCACACACATCAAGGAATTTATAACGTGTCTTGCAGCTAAAACATTACAATTGTATTGATATGCCAAAAACATGTATTATGAAAAATACCTGTATGAATGTCCAAGGTCAGTAACCACTCATGTGCTTGTCACTGTCTCTTCGAATTCGCTATTAGAAATTTGGTATTGGCTGCAGATATCTGATATTTAAAATTATTCCGAACTTGTGGTGTCTTAGACTAAAAGAGCATGTATTGGTGCTCGTTCGTCGTTATTTGTTAAATTAACTGATCTAATTTTGTTCACTTGAGTGGTGATTTGTAATACAACATATAATTTCATTGATATAATTTTAAATATATTCTGTTTGATATATATATATATCTTCAAATATAAACCTGCCTTTTAATTATACCTGAAGATTCATTTATAAATCTATATTAACAATCTATAATACTAATAAACTAATCATAGGTACGAGGATTAAAATTGTGAACGCCAAACGTGCGTTTCGTCTACAAAAGACTCACCAGTGATGTTCGGATAAAACAGTAAAATATTGAAGAGCATTGAAGACCCAAATTCCGAAAGATTTGTCAAATACAGCTAAGAGCATCTATTCCTAGGATAGAAAATCCTTAGTATTTCGAAAAATTTTAAGTTTTGTAAACAGTAAATTTATAATTATGACCATATCAATGATAACTCATGTCAACACACACGTGCTGACTACTGGGCTGATGAGGAATGGGGACCATGCATGGCAACAACATAAAGATGTAAAGTTGAAAAAACGCTTACAAATCAGAAAATGAACGCAAATAGTTCTTATTCCTGGTGCGAGTTAACTTTAATGTTGGTCTTTTTAGCTATATCAGCTCTATCTTGAATGTTTTAGAATTAAGGGCGTTACAATATTTCGACTTTGATTATCGCTGAACAGACTTTTTGTCGAAACGCGCAGCTGGTGCATTTTAATCTGAAAAAGAGAGGCAAAGGATACCAAAGGGACATTCAAACTCATAAGTCGAAAAAAAAACCAACGCCATGGTTATTAACGAAAGAGACAAACAGACATACAACAGTACACAAAACAACATAGAAAACCAAAGACTGAGCAACACGAACCCCACCATAAACTGGGGGTGATATCAGGTGCTCCGGAAGGGTAAGCAGATCCTGCTCCACAGGTGGCATCCGTGTAAGTACAAACCCGTTGATATGTATAATTTGCAGGTCACATTCGAGAGAACGAGACAAGATTGTAGTTAAGACAATTGGAACATATCCGTCGTCATCTGTGAAACAGATTTTCCCTAACGGTCAACCAACTCGTCATGGCGTCCGAAAAATTTACGAAGGGACGATTTCAACCCTTTGGAAATCTTGGTTTGATAGCTTCCTTGTCAGCAGCAACCCTCTATCGAGAAAATTGAACCGTTCATTACTATTGCAAAAACAAATCCGGGTTACAAACTAAAACTGAGGGAAAAACATCAAATATAAGAGGAGAACTACGACACAACAGAAACACAACATTAAAATGTAACACACACAGAAACGAACTATAATATAACAATGGCCATTTTCCAAACTTGGTACAGGACATTTTAAGAAAAAATGGTGGGTTGAATCTGGTTTTGTGGCTACAACTTTTTAAATACTTTATAGAATAAGAGAAAAGGTGGGACATTCGTCAATCAGACAACAACTCAATGATAAAATTAACCCAAAAAATATCTAAAATGCAGCATACAGTACTAGTAATTATAAAAGAATGTTTGTCTTAAACTCTCATTTTTATCTTTACATTATCCACTGAGGTAAATGCAGGTCTGTTCAGAAAATTTGCTTGCAGTAAATTCAGTACTAGTCAGTAGCTTTCCAGACAATTCAGTATGGTGCTGATGTGTACAGGTAATTAACAATTATTAGACAGTCTGAACAAAGACTTAATAGATCATAATTTGCTGCATGCAAATTGACTGAACAGTACCGAATTAATCGCCATGAAATTGAAAGTGAATACGTGTGAAAATTGATTGAAAAACTGATAATTTAATGTTCTGTCTTTAAAGCTGTTCACATCAAATTGACCGTTTCAGACTAAAATTTGTTTACTAGTGGCAGTCTTACAAATAGACACGTGTCTACACAATATCAACAACTAAATCGGCTCTAGATTAAAGAACGTAAGTTTCAAAACTAATATAACTAAGGATTTATCCATTAATGCATCTCATATGAAAGAGACTATATAGAAATTCATTTCATTTAAATAGCAAGGTCTCATATGTTATTCATATTTACAGATAGTATGGCCGCTGCACCCGACAGTGCATTTTGTGGAATTTGTGAAGTTCGTCATATTACAAAAGCATCCACTTATTGGTGTCCTGAATGCGATGAAGGATTATGTACAGAATGCCATGAACATCACAGTATTTCGAAAGCAACACGAAAACATGGTGTCATTTCTATAAAAAATTATAGAAAACTACCAACATCCATTGCAAACATCGCAAATTTCTGCACGGAGCATGATATGAAATTTGAAAATTATTGTCCGCATCATAACAAAATATGTTGCCCGGCCTGTATTTCTACTAACCACAAAAACTGTGTCGGTTTGCACCTACTTCGTGATGTTCTAAAAACTGCTAAGTCATCAACGTTATTTGACTCCATTGAAATGAGCATTCAAGACATAAAAACCAACATTGACACAATCATAAAGGATCGCATAGATGATCTTACCAGGTTCCTTCACCAACGAGAAAAATGTCGGAATGAAATCAAACAGTTGAGAATTGTAATAAATTCTCACTTAGATGAACTAGAAGAACAGATATTGAAAAAGCTTAATGCTGTCGAGATGGAAGTAAACTTAAAAACAGATAAATTGGTAGCAGATCTTTCAGAAAAAACAAAATATGCAGATATCTTGCAAGCCAACATCACATCTGTCAAGAAATATGGATCAGATCTGCAGGCATACATGGGCAGTAAACTAATTGAAGCTGATGTGGAAAAGGAAGAAAAATACCTCCAGTCTTTAACCAAGAACAGAAGCCTTCAACAAAATCTCTTGCAGTGCAAAATTGATGATAAAATATTGAAGTTATCATCAATTACAACCTTTGGATCAATTTCTATAAGTTTAGGATCGGTATCTGTTTCTTTGAAATCAGAAAGACAAAAGCAGGCACAGATCTTTACAAAAATTCCTACAGATATCAAGAGGACTGTTAAAGATATAACACTGTCATGTGCATCGAAAATTGAAATGACAGGAGATTTGTTTAAAGATTCAGACATCCGTGATGCCGTTGTTTTGTCTAACGGACAAATCATATTTGCAGATTTTAGTCAACGGAGGCTTATTGTGTTGAAAATTGATGGTACGCTCGAGAAAACAGTATCAGTGACTAGTGGGCCGTTTGCAATTACCAACATTAGCGACAAAGCAGTTGCTATTTCAGCCATTCGTGCCGCCGAGATTATCGAAATCGACACTGGGAATATCAAAGTAAATATCAAAACAAACGGTGAATGTCAATGCATAGATTACCACTTCGCCAGAGAAATGATAGTATGTTATGTTAAATCAAAGGGAATTCAATCGATTCAATTATATGACAAGACTATTTCCACTATCGTAAAAGCGAGAGGCGACTCAAAGTCTGGTTCGATCTACATTGCTGTTCAAGGCGATAACATCTACGAATCCAGATCCGAACAACATACGATCTCATGCTATACATTGATTGGAGAGAAGCTATGGGTGTTTAACAACACATACTTATTGGCTTATCCTTTGGCAATTTCCCTCGATGAAGACTCAAACGTGTTTGTATGTTCTTACTATACAAACAGTGTAGTTGTCCTGTCGTCTGATGGGACAAAATGTAAAAAGATTCTTAGTTTTGAAGATGAAATATCGCGTCCATGTGCATTGTTTTTTGATATAAAGAGAACAAACCTGCTTTTTGCTAAGACAAGTGGACCAATCTATGTTTATAACGTTTCGTAAATAGGGAGGAATTGTATCTCTCAGTCCTATAATCGACTTTAAGACATTTTGCGTTCATGTTATGGCTGAACGAAAATCTTTTCAATTAATTTGACTATAATCTATCGGACTTTTATATTTACACTGTAAAATTAGTTGTTATCTCGTGTTCCATTTTTGTTTTATATGCACTTATATTGATTTGAATGTATGTTTCTACTAATCCGGTAAAGTGTTTCGTATCAGCGTGCCACTAAAAATTGTAACTCATTTATTTCTAATAATAGACAATAATTGCTTGAATTGGTTTAAATTCTGTCTGGATATCATTCTGTTTTACGTACCTCTTTAACAAATTTGATATTCAGTTTTGAAGAGATCGCTAATAGTAACATAAAACCATTACATATATTCTTGGTTATTGGATTTCTAGACGTTATTCAGACTAGAATCTAAATTTTACATTGTGAAAATACCACGGTTATAAATGGGAGTAGTTGATCCGGGAGTACTATTATTTTTGTGATAAACAAACGATTCCGCCACTTCAGCAGCCAAGCGATATTTCCGCCAATGGCAAGTAACAACCAAGTGACATTCCCCTAAATTCGTACATATTGGACATCCAATATTCAGACAGGGAATTAATCAATATAAAGATAATTACAGATATTCAGTCAGACCAAAATGGATTCGGAATAATTCACCGTATGTTCTATCTAAACACAATAAAAGTGGAGTTTATTATAAAAGGGAGGCGAAAGATACTACAGGGATATTCAAACTCATAAGTTGAAAACAAACTGACAATGTCACGAGAAATAACGCAAAAACGGCGAATAAACAAACAACAGTACAAACAACATAAAATTAACACTAAAGATTAAGCAACACGAACCATACCAAACACCGGGAGAGACCTCAGGTGCTCCGAAAGGGTAAACATTTACGTACAAATGCCATGTTAACCACATCATGTCAGCAAGATATTTTGTGCTGCAAGAAATTAAAAATGCTTAGCATGCCAAAAAAAAAACAAACAAAAAACATTAAAATAGTTTCGACCCGGACCAAAAATTATAAAAAAAAATCACTGTAAAAAAAGAAAGGTATTCAAAAAGATTCAATCCTAATTAAATTAATCGCGCATCCTCAACGATTTTCTATCTGACAAGATCGGGAAAGCTGCCTTCAGTTATTGTTTACAAAAGAGACAAACCTTCGTACGACGAAATAAAATCCAGAAGCCAAAAACGTCGTGACGATAAAATCCAGTAAAAAGAGAAGACACTTGCACAAACAGTACTTGATCGCAAATATGAATTTAAAGTAGAAAGAGAGAATGACACTTAGTTGCTCAGGTGTAACATAAATCCATAATGCAGTTGAACACAGTGAACTGAAGAAAAATTGTGATGCTTAAAATCGGAAACAAAAAGGCTCAGAAAAAACAAGTAAAGTTCAATATTTATCCATAAGATCCGTACGTAGGCAATCACATTTATTGACCAGTTAACACGTTTTTATAAACACAATGTTAACTGGGAATATACCTTCCAGTCCGATATAACTACTAATGAGTGCCGTATCAAATAGGGATTCATTACAATTTCATGTTTGAAAATTATACGAACACTTATCATCAAGTACTGTTTTATTGAAAAACCTCATCAATTGTATCTCACTTATCCGGTAATGGTTTCGTCTCTATAAATAATTCGTAGCATCCGTTTTAGGCATGATGCTAAAATACTTTTTTGCTTTAAAAATATTTTACCAAGTTTCATTTAATATAAACATAAACCTGAAACTCAAAGATTCAGCTATCAAAACTTTAAATGACATTAAAAGCATCAGGAAAGAAATCAATTTGTCTTTTTTCTTGTTTGATAATCGTAATTTCATTATCGGATAATAGTAACTGAAAAATAATAAATGTGTCTTAAACCCGCTGCAATTGTTTGCACCTGTCCTAAGTCAGGAATCTGATGTTCAGAAGTTGTCGTTTATTGATGTGGTTCATGAGTGTTTCTCGTTTCTCGTTTTTTATATAGTTTAGACCGTTGGTTTTCTCGTTTGAATGGTTTTACACTAGTAATTTTGTGGTGCCCTTTATAGCTTGCTGTTTGGTGTGAGCCAAGGCTCCGTGTTGAAGACCGTACTTTGGGCGGAGGGGGTATTACCAATATCCCATATCCCAAAATTGCAATCCTTTCAATTCATTGCTCCTAATGATAGTCCCGTATATCATTTTTTATTATGCCATATGTTTTGCCTAAAAAATCTCATATATCCAATCAACATAATCAATAAAAAGGGCAAACTAACCTCCCCTATCCCAATATACCCTATACCACGGGGGTGGCTGTTGGTTACTTCCTATATAAATATCATAACATGGATCTGATTTTTGGTTTTCGGCAATAAATGAATGGAGATGTTTTTTTAAATTCCAGCAGCACGCCAGAAGTGACCCCATCCTCTCCCCGTGCCCTATACAAGCCTAATTTATTATAAGTTCGCTGCCAGTTTTGAGTCCCCTTTTTTTATATTCAAGGATGGGTCCAGAAATTTTGAAAAAGAGAAATGGGGGACGGGTGCTATTTACTAAACGTGTATACCAAAATTCTGCGCGAAATGAACAAAATATTCCATTTCAACAGTCTTGAAATTGTTTTACATGTGTCATTTCTGGGCCTTTTATAGGTGACTATGCGGTATGGGCATTTCTCATTGTTGAATGCCGCACGATGAGCTATAGTTGTAAATGTCTGTGTCATTCGGTCTCATTTGGAGAGTTGTCTCATTGGCAATCATACAACATCTTCTTTTTTTTTATAATTAATCACTAATCTGTTACGCGCGATTCGCCCGACAATTGCTGCCATATCTCATAATTTCCTTTAGAGTTGCCTCTTCTCTCATTCCCATATTTTTGGACATTCCTAGTTCCTGGAGTTTTTTGTATTTTAACATAGTTCGTGTTTCCCCATTTCCAAATTTCCTGAAGCTTGTTCCCCCTTCCAATTTACACCAGTATGTAGCTGTTCACATTAGAACTATTAATCATATATGCACAAAAAGAAATGTCATCAGACGTTGGAATTTTTTTCGAGATTAATTCAACACCATATTTTCATCATATGCTATCAGATAGCCGTTTTAGTGTCAATATCAATCAAACACTATCCAGTTACGATTATCTTCTCATTTTTTACTACCGGAATTACGATTATCTTTTTTTGAATAACGATTATCATCCCGAATTTTTCGACGGCAATTTTCTAAGCGCTTAGACAATTATAGTGTACCGTTACGATTCAAATATGATGGTAATGGTATAGAGAAACCTTGCAGACGAGCGACTCTTGACAACAACAGGCTACATTTGAGAAAAATGACTGAACAGATTTTACCTATTTCTGCCGTCGCCATATGTCGATCGTCGTAATTCCAGTTACGATTATCAGTTTAACACCAGTGTAAATAGAGAAACATTTATCTATAATTTCTTGGTGATGAAAAACTATTTTCATCCGATTTCTTTTAAAATACAAGACAGTTTAAATTAGGTTTTCTCTTTTTTTTCCATCGAAATTTAACCGCTTTACGCCTTCATTCTGATATTTGATCACCTTTGAGAATTTCCAACTTATTCCTTCCACATGAGATAAGGTCACAAGGATGATAGTTTTAGTAAGTCAACAGTAAATGAATTAAATTTCATCATGTTACAAATAAAGTTATTAATACTAGTTATATAAGATGATGTTTCTATATTCTCTGTTATGGGTATACTCTAAATAGAACTTAGATCATACACATAGTGTGTCTTCTAACTTTGTTTTACGAAGAGAAAGAGCAAGTGAAATAATGAAAAATAAGCTAATTTAATGAAAAATATCTTTGACACTTACACAAATAAGGAAGGATCATGTAAAAAAGCACGCAATATGTGAATTTAGCTGTTTAAACAAGAGTATACGTTTCAAGGTTTAAAGAAAAAAAAGAAGCCTTAAAACAAGTGATCCAAACATTTTGACGATATGGAATATTTTCGTACTTCGATCACCCGTCATCCGCTGGAATTCCTAGGTCACACATTCACGGATTTGACGCCGGATTAGCTACGGATACGATCCGGCATCATTCGTGGCAATCTGTATTAGTCCGTAGTTCACGTATTGTAGCCGTAGTCATACGTAGATGTACTTGTAAATCTGTGACAATTTTTGAACATGTGAAAAATTTGACCACGGATCAAACAACCGTATCATATCCTTATAAACCGTATTAGAACCTTCGGATCCGTTTTAGTTTCTATCAAAACCGTATTAATCCGTACTTATTCATAGGCCCAAAGGATTTCTACGGTTAGTTCCGGAGAACTACGTACTAGTACGGTTACACCACGTATTTGTTAAGGATAAAACACGATTTGTTTCGGATTTGTCACGGAACGACACGATTTCATTACGTTGCAAAACGGATAGCTAGGGATCAGTCAGGGTTCTCAAAGTCTGTTAAGTCATTTAAGAACTTTGTACGAATAGTCCAAAATAGGTTTCAAGAACTGCTACATGTCGTTGGTTCGATGATTACGAAGAGTACCACCGGGTACAGACAGACAGATAAATAATTTATGAAACAAAACAAAAAAATCATCGATTCACTGCCATAATGATAAATCACAAGCCTTAATTAGAAATGATTAACGGCTTAGAAAATGTGGCGGTTCGTACTATTCCGTACCAGACCGTTCTCATTCGTACTAACCCTTACTTAAAACGTAGCAAACCGCTGTTTATCCGCAGTACATACGCCCCGATACGTGTCGTTGCGTATTAAACCGTGTCATTTCCGTATTAAACCGTGTCTTACCGTAAGAACACGTATCACTCATGTCGCCAAATGACCCCTTTCCTACAGTACCCGTGGTAGATAATTAAAACCCGAAGTCATATCGTTGTGCATCCGTATCGGATCCGTATTGGACTACAGAAACTGCATTTCCCGGATCATCCGTGAGATTTAATCTGTAGTGGAACCGGCGAGGTGATCTGTGAATGTGTGACCTAGGCATAATGCATTTCAGGTTTCTTGCATTACTGGCTAGAGGAAAATCAATTCAAATCATAAATATTCATATACTCAAAAAGATATGCATATGTCAACAGAGATATAATCAGTTTCTAGTATTATACCTGTATTTAATGAACAGGTGAACAAAGATATGAGCATTATCAGTGTGGAGGTATATAGCCTTTGGTGAACTACTGTTAACTTAACAACAAACATTAACT